ATATTATGATAAAGAAGTTGTTACCCAAAGAAGTTGTTATCCATAACGTTTGTTCAATGTTATGATAAAGAAGTTGTTATCCATAACGTTTGTTCAATGTTATGATAAAGAAGTTGTCTATCCATAACGTTTGTTCGATATTATGATAAAGAAGTTGTTATCCATAACGTTTGTTCAATATTATGATAAAGAAGTTGTCTATCCATAACGTTTGTTCGATATTATGATAAAGAAGTTGTTATCCATAACGTTTGTTCAATATTATGATAAAGAAGTCGTCTATCCATAACGTTTGTTCAATATTATGATAAAGAAGTTGTTATCCATAACGTTTGTTCAATGTTATGATAAAGAAGTTGTCTATCCATAACGTTTGTTCGATATTATGATAAAGAAGTTGTTATCCATAACGTTTGTTCAATGTTATGATAAAGAAGTTGTCTATCCATAACGTTTGTTCGATATTATGATAAAGAAGTTGTTATCCATAACGTTTGTTCAATATTATGATAAAGAAGTTGTTATCCATAACGTTTGTTCAATATTATGATAAAGAAGTTGTTATCCATAACGTTTGTTCAATATTATGATAAAGAAGTCGTCTATCCATAACGTTTGTTCAATATTATGATAAAGAAGTTGTTATCCATAACGTTTGTTCAATGTTATGATAAAGAAGTTGTCTATCCATAACGTTTGTTCGATATTATGATAAAGAAGTTGTTATCCATAACGTTTGTTCAATGTTATGATAAAGAAGTTGTCTATCCATAACGTTTGTTCGATATTATGATAAAGAAGTTGTTATCCATAACGTTTGTTCAATATTATGATAAAGAAGTTGTTATCCATAACGTTTGTTCAATATTATGATAAAGAAGTTGTTATCCATAACGTTTGTTCAATATTATGATAAAGAAGTTGTTACCCAAAGAAGTTGTTATTCATAACGTTTGTTCAATGTTATGATAAAGAAGTTGTTATCCATAACGTTTGTTCAATATTATGATAAAGAAGTTGTTATCCATAACGTTTGTTCAATATTATGATAAAGAAGTTGTTATCCATAACGTTTGTTCAATATTATGATAAAGAAGTTGTTACCCAAAGAAGTTGTTATCCATAACGTTTGTTCAATGTTATGATAAAGAAGTTGTTATCCATAACGTTTGTTCAATATTATGATAAAGAAGTTGTTATCCATAACGTTTGTTCAATATTATGATAAAGAAGTTGTTATCCATAACGTTTGTTCAATATTATGATAAAGAAGTTGTTACCCAAAGAAGTTGTTATCCATAACGTTTGTTCAATGTTATGATAAAGAAGTTGTTATCCATAACGTTTGTTCAATGTTATGATAAAGAAGTCGTCTATCCATAACGTTTGTTCAATATTATGATAAAGAAGTTGTCTATCCATAACGTTTGTTCAATATTATGATAAAGAAGTTGTTATCCATAACGTTTGTTCAATATTATGATAAAGAAGTTTTTATCCATAACGTTTGTTCAATATTATGATAAAGAAGTTGTTATCCATAACGTTTGTTCAATATTATGATAAAGAAGTTGTTAACCAAAGAAGTTGTTATCCATAACGTTTGTTCAATGTTATGATAAAGAAGTTGTTATCCATAACGTTTGTTCAATGTTATGATAAAGAAGTTGTTATCCATAACGTTTGTTCAATATTATGATAAAGAAGTTGTTATCATAACGTTTGTTCAATATTATGATAAAGAAGTTGTTACCCAAAGAAGTTGTTATCCATAACGTTTGTTCAATGTTATGATAAAGAAGTTGTTATCCATAACGTTTGTTCAATATTATGATAAAGAAGTTGTTATCCATAACGTTTGTTCAATATTATGATAAAGAAGTTGTTATCCATAACGTTTGTTCAATGGTTCAATATTATGAAAAAGAAGTTGTTATCCATAACGTTTGTTAAATATTATGATAAAGAAGTTGTTACCCAAAGAAGTTGTTATCCATAACGTTTGTTCAATATTATGATAAAGAAGTTGTCTATCCATAACGTTTGTTCAATATTATGATAAAGAAGTTGTCTATCCATAACATTTGTTCAATATTATGATAAAGAAGTTGTCTATCCATAACAAATCGTTCCTGTTCATCACACCAGCTTCGAAATGCCACTCAATGAAACAGAAAGATTAGTACGCTGGTGGGCGGGGCCTGCTTTGAGGGATTTATGGTAACTTTACCGACCAAACATTAGCCAATCACTTGCAATTTGTGAACTTGGACGTGGGTTACGAGAATCTCTATGTGTACCGTACTAACCATAAACTGTCGCAATTTACGTTACGAGTAATCTTGACGTTGAACATATGCATACATTAGATATAACAGGACTGGAAGCTATCTGGATAAAACTTAAACTTAAACAAACAACTTATATAGTTGGTACAGTGTATAGAGCGGATAAAAGTGAAAAATATTGGGACATGATCATTCAAGCAATAAGCGATGCTGTTGACTAAGTCTGAATACAATTGTAGTAGGTGACTTCAATATGAATATATTGAAAGACGGTAGACTTAAATGAGATCAACTGCAACTTTTGTATGGACTTTCTCAAATTATCAACGATCCTACAAGGATAACCCACACATCTAGCACTTTAATTGATCTCATTTTTGTTTCTAGTACTGACAATATCCTAGAGTCTGGAGTCTTGGATCCTATATGTAGTGACCACTGTCCAATATTTGTTACCATCAAAGAAAAACTTAAGAAATGTAATACATACCAAAGACAAATATTTGATTATTCATCCGTAGATATGAATTATATTAGGGACATAGCTAACAATGTCAATTGGGATTCCCTGTTTATATCCCAGGATGTTTCTAAAATAGCAGCTGAAATCTTCATTGTGCTTAAAAGTATCAGAAATACATGCATCCCTAATAAAACTGTTACCATGCGCCCTAATGACTGTCCAGGGATGAATAATGTAATACGCAGTTTAATCAGTAAACGCAGTCGAAAACATAAGATTGCAAAAAAGAAAGATTCGCCTCAGGCATGGAGTACCTTCAGACAAAAAAGAAATTCCGTTATAAATGAAGTAAGAAAAGCTAAAAAACGTTATATTAATGACATTGACGAAAAAATAAGTTCATCGTGCGGTAGTAAAACGTGGTGGCGCTTGATAAAGCAATATCTTAAAACAAATAAATCCACATGTTCATTCCCTAATATTGTTCATGATGATGTACTATATGATGACGATCAGGACATTGCAAATACATGTATATTAAACAATTATTTCACTAATCAGGCTGTTGTACCAGAACCAAATTTGAAATAGAAGATATTGTTTTAACACCAACTGGATCCTTGAGTGACATATCTATTGACAAGAATGAAGTTAAGGATATCCTATTGTCTCTCAATGTTACAAAAGCGTCTGGTCCGGACGGCTTAAGTAACATATTCTTAAAAATTGTATCCAATCATATAGCCGAACCTCTAGCGAAGTTATTTAATATCTCTTTAAAACATAGTGAGTATCCAAAAATCTGGAAGGAAGCGACGGTTGTGCCATATCACAAGAAGGGTAGTATTGATGAATGTAGTCATTACAGGCCAGTTGCTTTAACAAGTTGTTTATCTAAAGTTTTTGAAAAATGCGTTTTTAAATACTTATTAATTTTTTTTAATGACAACCATATACTTTCGAACCTGCAATCAGGTTTTATGCCCGGTGAGTCAACCTCTTATCAGTTAACATTTCTCTACAACTTTACATCAAAAACACTAGATCAAGGCAAAGAAATTAGAGCTGTATTCTGTGACATAAGTAAAGCCTTCGATAAAGTATTGCATAAAGGCATAATCCATAAACTGGACCGTTATGGTATTAAAGGCAATTTATTAAATTGGTTTAGAAGCTATCTAAATGAAAGAACACAGAAAGTTGTCATCCAGGGTATAAACTCATCTGAGCGTGCTGTGTTAGCTGGGGTTCCACATGGGTCAGTCCTTGGACCCTTGCTGTTCATAATCTACATACATGATATTACAGATGGTATCGATAGTAACATCCGTTTATTTGCTGATGACACCTCATTATATATCACTATCGAAGACCCAGCAATTGCTGCTCGCTACCTAAACAGCGACCTGTCTAAAATTTCATAGTCGGCCAAAAAATGGAAAGTCTCATTTAATCCATTAAAAACAGAATCCATACTTTTTACTAGAAAAAAATATCCGAGCTCTAAACTACCACTTTTTATGAATAAGACTGTTACCTGTGAAGTCGAAAGTCATAAACATTTAGGGGTTGCTCTGCAGAGCGATTGCACTTGGAGCAAACACATTACCGATGTCGCATAAAAAGTAAGCCCAATGATAAATTGCTTACGGAAATACAAATACCGTCTTAATCGTAAATCCTTGAAATTATGTATAAACAGTATATATTACCATTGTTTGACTATTGTGGTGACATCTGGGACAACTGCACTAAAGAGCAATCTGAATTTCTAGAAAAATTGAACCTATATGCTATACGAACAATAAAAAATACATTTTAGAAAGTCCGATATGCTCATGTGGACTAGCAAATGAGGATAGTTTTCACTTTTTCTTTACTTGTCCAATATACATGTATACTGTAACTCGAAATAACATGTACTTTTACCAAAAAGGATATACATTAGACTCGTCCATGCAACTGCACCTGTAAATATGCAGATTCTTGAATCGGTTCATTTATATATCGTAAAATCAGGCAGATTTGACGCCCTTTTCTCAAGATAATGATTGTTTACTCTCAACTTATGATGTCGACATACCTCTCTTCTTTTGGACTATGTACAGCGTATACATGATTAACAGCCAAACTATAATTAGCATTTGTTTTTGTAAGGGAGAGGTGTTCAAATAAGCTTACAGCTTGTTCACCAATCCCTTTCAATTTAATTTGAATAAAAATATGTTTAAACCAAATAAACTTATTACCGGTTCGTTTATCTGCAGTTTCGGGCCGTCATGACGTTCCAGACCCGTTATGTCTAACATCACGTGACCCTCATCCACGTAGAGCGGCGCGCGACTCTGGAAGTACCCCACGGCGCGGACACGTAGTCCCAGCCAATGAGCAGCTCGGACCACATTCTGCACGTGCCTCACGTGAGTTGGCTTGACGTAGAAGACGTTACTAATGTTGATGGTTCTGTCGTAGTTCTCAAAATGGCGGATGTCGATGACGGGGCCGCCGCGTCCGACGTACAGTTGGATCAAAGGAAGGACTTGCCGCATGTAGACATACACTCCTGTATACAAGGAATGGATCTGTCAGATCGTATATCACTGTTTACGTCACACTGTTGATTGTTTCAATTTGACGTCATTCATGGTTGTTGGTTACGCCCACTTTCCTTACCAAATGTGTTTGTCTTTAACGCTTTCGCGCCCTTGTCAGGACGCATAAATGCATGTAAAGCTTTAAGATGGATACATGACAGGTTTTATGGATAACAATTTCTTTCTATTCTTTATACGACGTTTCAGAACTAAGTCTTGCTCCTTCATCGCCTGACGTATAAAGGTTGTATAAAGTATAAGAATATAAGAATAAAAGAAGTTGTTACAGAACAAAACGTGTCACGTAGCCATCTTCGTCCAACTTCTAAATACCTTTCAAGAGCATAAGATGGTGTTTAATAGAATATTGCATGTCCGATATGACTAATAGGCTAACTTATTGATTCCAACAGATCTTCATTATAGGATTAAGACTACCATATATCCTTATACAAGCAAGGTGGGAGGTTTATCACTCAAACCTTGTGGCAACACGGGATATCGCTTTTCTCAGATTTAAGCGATTTCTACTGTGAGTGATTATGGTTTTACGCCGCTTTTAGCAATATTCCAGGAAATATCACGGCGGTAGACACCGGAAATGGGCTTCACACATTGTGGCCCTGTGCTCGGGTCTTCAGCACACAACAAACACACACACACACACACACACACACACACACACACACACACACACACACACACACACACACACACACACACACACACACACACACCACAGTAACTTACGGTCACTTCTCTCAAATATGCTTAAATCCCGTTTCTCTCGAGATAGTATTTCTTGAATTTCTTCCAGAGGTCGCAGTTTTGATCCGATGGATTTGCCTAGCAAAATAAAAATATATTGAACATTGATGTCCAAATATACCAAGCCTGTAATCTATGGAATCTGAAAAGGGACATTGTCGCTATGTCGCCCTCTCAAAAACAAGTTAAGTGAGGCAAAATAAACTAAAACGCGACACGCGACAACGCGACATTTCGCCCATTTGTCGCATTGTCGCGATGTCGCGTGTCGCGTTTTGGTTAATTTTGCCTCATTTTGCTTGTATTTGAGAGGGCGACAACGCGACAATGCGACAACGCGACAATGTCCCTTCCAGGATTCCATAGTAATCCCCTATCAGTTAACCAGAGACTTTGCACAAAGTGATGGCAAAATAGATAGCATAAGAACAAAATGTGAAAGTGTGCGTTTCTATACCACATATAGGAATCGAACACGGACTTTTGACATGACATGCGAACGCTTTAACCAGCACCCCCAACCCCACCGACGTGTGCATATGTTTTCAAGTCGAAAATGAAAATAATACTAATTTACAGCAGTAATATTTGATGACGGAAAGTTGTTGCCATGGAAACCAGAACATATGTATCTTCTGTGTGCCTCAAACAAAACTCAGGTTTAAAAAGCAATTCAGTTGTATGCAAAGAGAAATACCTACCTTGAACAACCAGCACTATTGACAATAGTGTCGCGAGGCATGTATTAACGACCATCATTTCCACAGCGTTCCAAAGATACCACCGTAACTGGTGAATGCAGCCTGTTCTTATACCTGCAAAGGTAAACATTCGTCATCCAATCTAAGGTGACAAGGTATTGAATAAGATTGGGTCACGTGGTATGGGAATGATTTATATCCGGCTCAGGTGTGCTCCGATTGGTGTCCGAATGGCCATTTAATGGCGGACCTTACCCGGGGAGAGAATGTGTGTGTGTCTCCGAGTGATGCTCATCCTCACCTGGGCGTGTATTCTCGACGTGCGGGTCTGTTCAAACACCGACGTCAGTCAGATAAAGAACACTCCCGAATTAAATGCGTTTTAATGATGTGTTGAAATAAACTGCATGTATCATTGTTCTTTTTTATGTTTATGTGAACTTTGCTCACTTACCAGCGACACGCCTCCTTAAACCCCAATAGTTTTACCAATGAACACGCTTCTCTAGATAAAAGGGTAAACATTCTTCCCTGTTGGTTATGCATACACTGTGCACACCGAACGATGGATATCTACTGCGGTTTGCATTTACTTGGTTCCACATTTGATTCTTTCCGCTCGAATTAAGGTGAAATTTATTATGATAAACGTCCGATGTCCCCGGAGAAGCCTTGTGGACCTCAGATGTTCCAGCTCCACGATGATGGCAGCATTCCGCAGTATTCTGTTTCCCGCAGTATTATGCCATTAATAATGCCATTGATAACCAGGCAATGTCATATGGTATAGTGCCATTTATAACCAGGCAATGTCATATGGTATATTGCCATTTATAACCAGGCAATGTGATATGGTATATTGCCATTGATAACCGGGCAATGTGATATGGTATATTGCCATTTATAACCAGGCAATGTCATATGGTATATTGCCATTTATAACCAGGCAATGTCATATGGTATATTGCCATTTATAACCAGGCAATGTCATATGGTATAGTGCCATCTATAACCAGGCAATGTGATATGGTATATTGCCATTTATAACCAGGCAATGTCATATGGTATAGTGCCATTTATAACCAGGCAATGTGATATGGTATATTGCCATTGATAACCAGGCAATGTCATATGGTATATTGCCATTTATAACCAGGCAATGTCATATGGTATAGTGCCATTTATAACCAGGCAATGTGATATGGTATATTGCCATTTATAACCAGGCAATGTGATATGGTATATTGCCATTTATAACCAGGCAATGTGATATGGTATATTGCCATTGATAACCAGGCAATGTCATATGGTATATTGCCATTTATAACCAGGCAATGTGATATGGTATATTGCCATTGATAACCAGGCAATGTCATGTGGTATATTGCCATTGATAACCAGGCAATGTCATGTGGTATATTGCCATTGATAACCAGACAATGTCATATGGTATATTGCCATTGATAACCAGGCAATGTCATGTGGTATATTGCCATTGATAACCAGGCAATGTCATGTGCTATATTGCCATTGATAACCAGGCAATGTGATATGGTATATTGCCATTTATAACCAGGCAATGTCATATGGTATATTGCCATTGATAACCAGGCAATGTGAAATGGTACCGTATACCGGGAAATTTTCAAGGTATTAAAAATGTCGAGGTTTGAGACCCCCAGAGCTTTCGAGGTGATTTAAATTTTGAGGTTTGGGGACCTAAACTATATAAATATTTTAGACAATGTTAATTTCGAGGTTAGAAGAAAGTGGCCAGAAACATCACTTACCAGACCAATACTCACTGAGCTATCGGCAAAACTCCTAGTAGCCAGTGATAACTGCCGTCTGACTGTTATAGCTACCGGTATACCAGTCCATGGCAGCAATAATAGTAATGAAAACAAACGTTTGATCCTTTGTTGTGATAAATGGCCCATAAAACATTCTAACGGCAGAGTTCAAACATGACGCCATTTTTTCTCAGACGATATTGTTTTCTTAACAACTAATTATAAGCATGTATGCATGGGTCTCTGCTGAAACTATGTTGTTGTTAGAAAGCTGAGAAGTTGAACTCTTTTGTTTACGATAGTTTATACATGTAAGTAGCTTGGCTCAAACGTGCCATCGCACGAATAAAAGTTTGTTTCAGTCGATGTCGTGACATCTTGACGAGACAAAATGAGTCTAATAGCGTGGTTGTAGACAGGCATTACAGAGTTAATGCGCATGTCAGGAAGTCATTGTTTGCCAGCAGTTGAAATGCTTATCGATAGGAAATCTAGCCCAAAGGTACGAAGGTCGGAAAAATTCATGGATATAATATTTTCGAGATTGCGTTTCTAACCTTCGAAAACCTCGAAAATTAGATACCTCGAAAATTTCCCGGTATACGGTATATTGCCATTGATAACCAGGAAATGTCATGTGGTATATTGCCATGTATAACCAGGCAATGTGATATGGTATATGCCATATATAACCAGGCAATGTCATGTGGTATATTGTCATTGATAACCAGGCAATGTCATATTGCCTTTGATAACCAGGTATTGTCATATGGTATATTGCCATTGATAACCAGGCAATGTCATGTGGTATATTGCCATTGATAACCAGGCAATGTCATGTGGTATATTGCCATTGATAACCAGGCAATGTCATGTGGTATATTGCCATTGATAACCAGGCAATGTCATGTGGTATATTGCCATTGATAACCAGGCAATGTCATGTGATATATTGCCATTGATAACCAGGCAATGCCATGTAGTATATTGTCATTTATAAGCAGGCAATGTCATGTGGTATATTGCCATTTATAACCAGGCAATGTCATGTGGTATATTGCCATTGATAACCAGGCAATGTCATATGTTATATTGCCATTGATAACCAGGCAATGTCATGTGTTATATTGCCATTGATAACCAGGCAATGTCATGTGGTATATTGCCATTGATAACCGGGGAATATCATGTGGTATATTGCCATTGATAACCAGGCAATGTCATTTGGTATATTGCCATTGATAACCAGGCAATGTCATATGGTATATTGCCATTGATAACCAGGCAATGTCATAGGTATATTGCCATTGATAACCAGGCAATGTCATGTGTTATATTGCCATTGATAACCAGGCAATGTCATGTGGTATATTGCCATTGATAACCAGGCAATGTCATGTGGTATATTGCCATTGATAACCAGGCAATGTCATGTGGTATATTGCCATTGATAACCAGGCAATGTCATGTGGTATATTGCCATTGATAATCAGGAAGTGTCATATGGTATATTGCCATTTATAACCAGGCAATGTCATATGGTATATTGCCATTGATAACCAGGCAATGTGATATGGTATATTGCCATTGATAACCAGGCAATGTCATATGGTATATTGCCGGTAATAACCAGGCAATGTTATGCCACGAGTTACATTGACCTAGTGTTACGCATATACGTGTATGACCTCTCTGTCGTCGTTTGACATCATAGAAGGAAATCCGGATCCATTTTTGACATTTATTGCGAGTCATTTTTAATGTTGAGCGTATAACGTTATGCACAAGCACATAAACCCAATTCATATACACTTATGTCGTTCAGATATCAGGCTGTATTTTCTTCGCTGACACTTTCCGTAAAGATGCCACATTAAAAAATTCGTAGCACAGTGCTTTTATCGGTGCGCGATAAAAAAGCAGATAAATTTACTGTTTTTTAACGCATAACAAACTTTGGACAACCTTTAGCAGTGTCTATTTCTCAAACCGCCAAGGTAGTTGCACTTATATTTATACCAACGGATAGGAAATTTAATATTCACATTTCTGTGTAATTTTGTAGCCGTATCGCAATATCGAGCACGCAAAGGGAGCAGGGAACCAGCTTACGAGCTCCTCTGACGTCCAACCTGGGTTCGAGTTCCTCTGACGTCCAACCGGGGTTCGAGATCCTCTGACGTCAAACCGGGGTTCGAGGTCATATGACGTCCTGCTAGATGAACTACCTGACTGGGGAGGATTCGAATCTGTCGGAACATAAGAAGTTGACTCTTCCAGACTTGAATTACTCAACTCACCTGACCTGAAGCGTCACTAGTTATTGCTAACAAAGTAACACTACTGCCTGAAAACTACTCTAACCAGGTTACAGTCCGGGTTTACTGATCTGCCTTTTACTCCATCCAAAGTCTTTGCATCAGCAAGCACACACTACATGACTGACTGACTGACTGAGTTTGGTTTTACGCCGCTTTTAGCAATATTCCAGCAATATCACGGCGGGGGACACCAGAAATAGGCTTCACACATTGTACCCATGTGGGGATTCGAACGCGGGTCTTCGGCGTGACGAGCCAACGCTTTAACCATTAGGCTACCCCACCGCCCCCACACTACATGAAGTCTTCCAGCTAAATCACAATGCCTCATCTCATCATATGATGGCAATCAGCTCGCGACACCTATCAAAAACGGTCCTGTTCCCAAGCCAAGTCTACGTAAATTATACTATCACCCCTTTTCTTTGAGTGCCCACATATACTCCAGTAACCAAGTCATAATCCTTCAAAATGGATGTTTCACTACGTCACAGTTTGAACAAGCATCAACGGGTGGTCTTGAGCTTAGTCCATTAACATTACCCATTTCGAATCAGTTGCAACCTTCTCAAAGTATCTGGAAAGTATACGACAATAAAAACTTCTTCCATAATCCTGAGAAGTTCCCCAAACCAGAGGACCAAATGTGATCCAAATAATAATGATAATAATAAGTGCATTTATATTGCGCTATTTTCAACCCTTTGTGGTTGCTCAAAGCGCAGGTATCAAGGGTAGTACTTGGAGAAGAGATGGGTTATAAGTTTGGACTTGAAGACAGCTAAAGATGGGGAGGTTTGATATCAAAAGGAAGACAGTTCCAGAGAGAAGGAGCACAGAGTGAGAATGATCTCTGGCCGAAGGATTTGAGACTAATTTTGGGGATGGTAAATAGAAGTTGATCATTGGATCTCAGGTTTTTGTTTGAAGTATATTTCTGGAGAAGTTCTTTCACATATGCTGGTGCAACATCATGGTAACAGCTGTAGGTCAGGGAAAACACTTTGAACTCGATTCTAGCTAGTACTGGGAGCCAATGGAGATTCATCAATATTGGTGTTATATGGTTATATTGTAAAATAGCCAGTTATCCTCTTTACTATGTAGTTTTCCACACAAAAGGGCATGACATAGTGAGTTTTCAGGGCGATATTTCAGCCACAATAAAATCGAGTTCAGTTTTAACAGTTTAGCAACATTTCAGCAATATTAAAGCAGGAGAATCCAGAAATGGGCTTAAGACATTTTGCGGATATAGGGAATCGAAGGCGAGCAACGGACTCAACATGAAAACAGTTAAACCATCAGACAAACCCGTTAACAAGAGGGTAGTGGAAACACATCAGACTCTACAAGAGAACTCTCTTAATTCACCAAGCTACCCACCTAACTGTAAAACGTGTGGAGATCCGATTGTAAAAGCGTTCGCCCTTCTAGTTGAAGGTCTAGGTTCACCTCCCCAATCTGTGTACTGCTTCTAGTTTCATGGGGATATATTGCAAGAGATGCTAGTTGTCATTCATCAACTATCAACCGAATGGC